AGTTTGAATGGGGTTAGCACCAAAAGGCCTTATCATAACAAAGGAGGCTATTTACCTTTCATGTAGTTTATCTGAAGTCTCCATCCAGACGGAAGAAAGGAAAAAAGGGGTGGGAGTGTGATGCCTGAAACTGTCACTGGAAGAGGGGGGTGATTGGGTGGGACTACTGGGGAACCCCTTAAAACCTCGAATGGGAGAGCTTGAACCCCAAGTCCTGTCTAGAACGCCTGCAATCATTTTCTCTTAATAAAGGATCCCTGTTGGAAGAATTATTCCAAGAGTTCTGTCTTCTTAAGATGCAAAGTGGGGTGGGTCCTTACAATGAGATTGTTTTTGGATAGCCATTTATTTTCAGATAAAACTGTTGTGAGTGGGGGAAAGAGGAGCTAAATACCCCTTGGGGAATTTAATTTAGGATTAAATCCTAAAATACTAATTGTTATGAATTTTAACTGGTAAGTGAAAGATTCACTGAGCTAATTCAATATTAACCTGTAAATGAAAAGTTCATTGAAGTATGGTAAACCAGAGACTGTGGGCTGCAAGAGAAATGATTTTACAGTGAAATATCTACCCACTCTCCTTGGCTACCTCATTCAGTAAGTAGAAGACCACCATGCTCAAGCAATTTTCTCAGAAATGTTCTCCTTTAAAAAAAATGAAAATAAGCTACCATGAAATTGAATGAGAATGAATAGTTGTTGTTTTTTTTTTTTTTTGCAAACATAGTAATGCGCAATTTTAAGTGTGTAGCAAATGAAAGATAGGGTGCTTTGGTCTTACATAGCCAATTAAGATTTTTTTTAACTGTTCTTTGTTGGTCCAAAAATAATTTCTGATCTTTTAATCATGAGAAAATGTTTTTTCCATGATCCTGGTCAAAAAAAAAAAAAAACATCCTAGGGAAGCTTGAACATCATTTCAAAGCATCAAGAAAAGGTACTGGTAGTCCTTGACTTATGACCACAATTGAGCCAAAATTTCTGTTGCTAATTGAGGCATTTGTTAAGTGAGTTTTGCCTCATTTTACGACTTTTTTGTTGCAGTTGTAAAGTGAATCACTGCAGTTGCTAAGTTACTAACTTACTAACTTTCTGACTTTGTCAGGTCACAAAAGGTGATCACATGACCCCGGGATACTGCAAGGTCAATTGCCAACTGTCTGAATTTTGATCACATGACCATGGGGATGCTGCAGTTGTGTGAAAAACAGTCATAAGTCATTTTTTTCAGGGACCTAACTTCAAACAGTCATTAAATGAACTGTTGTAAGTGAAAGACTACCTGTAATTATCATGTCTTTGTTTGTTATTCAGTGTCCTTTTCATGCTTTGTTGCTGGATTTAATATCATAATGTTGAATGGAGGCTTTGGCATTTGTCACAAAATAATTAGTAATATACATTTGTCTAGAAACCAGTTCACAATTGTCTTCATTCTCCAATTACAGACCATTCATTGCCAAGTGTTCCCCATTTCCCCAAAACACCAAGCTGACCAGAAGTTGCACTAGAAAATTTAATTTCCCTTGGGTTATACAGTGCCCAATAACTTTATAATACTGGTTAATGTACATATATCCCTCAGAACATACTGAAACTAGCAAAATCTACATCAGGAGACAATGATACTTCAAAATGGTTTCAGCTTTAGTGAACTCCAGCCAGGATAAACTCCACGTTCTTGCTCCATCAGACCCACTGTCAACTGGTTTTTGAAGATATATATGCAAATAGTCATAAATGCAAAGTCAGCCCCAGATCATAGACTGCAACTAATTTTCCCATTCTTGCCTAACCATCAGGCCCATCTAAAGAAACATTTTTTTTTTTATCTTTAGTAACCAATTCACTTAAGAGATGGTAGAATTTTGTTTCTTCAAAGTCCCCACAGCAACCCTGAATTTTACATCCCCAACTGCTTCATCAAGTGACTATACTTTCCCAAGCCCAAAGAAGCCCTTCAGGAAGGTGGTACTTATGTACAAGAACAGATTGTTCCACAGAAATGGGGATAGCATTGACAATAAGAGTCCCTACAATGGACCTTTCTTTGGGACTGGATCCTCAAGAGGCCTCTCCCTGATTTAATTGCAGAATTCATTTCAGATCAGGCAGTCTTGGAAATATCCAGACACTGAGGTAAGGTAATAACCAGCAATTTAAACTGTGCCTAGATGACTGACCACCAGTGCAGCTTCTTGAATAGAGATACTAGCAAAGATAGGCTCACCCATAGCCACTTGTCAGTGTGTGTTGTACAGTTGCAGATAGTCTTCAAGAGCAACTCCACAAAGAACAAATTGTAGGAGTCCAACCATGAGGTGAGAAGGGCATGAATGTCTATGTTCTGTACTTCATGATTAAAGGAAGGACACAGCTGGCCTATCAGATATAATTGTCCAAAGGCTCTCCTTGGACATAGTTTCCTCTTACTGCTCAGGCTGTGAACTAGTTTATGAATGAACTCTATTCAAGGGAAGCATGACCCAACCTAGAGCTGTAAATGGATCATTTTAGGATTCAGAAGACTTTTGGACCCAAAGCCACAATCTTACAATCTGTGTGTAACATGTTAAAAGAAAACAAACACGAACACATATTGTTCTATTAATGTTAGTGTATAACTTTCCTTCTCCAAATAGTCATGAACTGTTTTGTGATGAAATAAAATGAAATTTGGGCTCGGATGGTGCATTAAGATCTTGTGACTCTGATGCAACACAGAGGAATTCTGAATGTTCCTGTGCTAAGCTGTGCAAACAAGATACAAACCAATAAAGGATATTTGTAGGTCAGGGTTGAAATGAGGGGTCCTTGGTGGTCGTTTCCTTGCAGACATTTCATGACCCAAACTAGGCAATATCAGTAAGAAAACATCTGCAAGAAAACAACTACCAAAGACCCCCTCAAACTACAAACCAGCTTAAAAAACAAAACTGCACTGAGACCACAAAACTCTCAACCAAGTCCCGTTTTTATTGCTTCCGACTTTGTTTTTCCCTATTCTTTATCCATCATCATTATTGCTATTTTCTGGGTTTCTTTTTTTAAACTGAACAGAGCTGGTTCTATTAATAGTTCAGAGTTGCTCCTTTTGATTGAGGGTGTTTAATTTAATGGTCAACATGTGGAGCTACACTTAACTGCCAGACCTCAGACTCTCTAAAAACCAGTTTGTGGTCACTCTATATCCTGCTTACAAGAGAGGCCTCAACATATTTCTGAAACCCTTTTGCAAGTCAGAAGTTGGATTTCTGCTGAGAGCAATCTTGTTCTCCAGAAATCCACTATGGGAGGAGTTGTTTTAAAAAATAAGAAAAAAAGGAGCAATGATGCTCACATTTCCATCTTGTCCTTCTCATCATTATATGGCCTTTAACAGATTCCCCCTGGGGAATAAGGGATAATGGGAAGTCACTGATATGAGAAAAAATCAGTTTCAAAAGGAATGTTTCTATATTCGTATTTGGGGTTTTCGGATGGAAGGCTAATGAGAAAGGGTAATTTTTTATTAGACATTTTAGAGAAGTATATTTTATTAGGCATTTTAGAGAAGTATAAATATAGACAAAAAGAATAAAAAGAGTAAAATACATAAAGAAATCTAAAATATTGCAATTAGTTTTTCAATATATCATTAATTATGAGTTATAGGATCTGTTATATTGCTTTAAAAACTTAAAAGTAATTACTGTTGGGTCAAAACATCAAAATGTGATTACAAAATTGAAGCCCTGTCCCTTTTTAATGGGTGTTACCAATGCAGATCAAAAAGGAATAGGCTTTAATTAGGCAATTATCAGACCATTCTGAATGTTTTAACTTCCCCACTCCTAATACCTTTGGGTAGTGTCAAGAGTAAATCAAATCTAGGTACCTATTATGCCTGAACACATGCAAACTCACACAACACAAGCCTATGTCAGTTTTTGTTACATTTGGCAATTATTAACAGGAGGATCTTCTTTTTGTTCTTGAGCTACAAGCAATCCACAATTTCTCCCAAGAGATGTGATGTGATTCAACTGGAAAACAATCTCTCCACCCTTGTGGCTTCACTTGTTTCAGCAAGGAATGGAGGATGTGTATATGTGGGGTGGGGGTGTAAACTACCAATGTAAGATTAGTTTTCAAATTTGTTAAACACTGATACAGAGAAATTACTTTTTGCAAAAGCCCTGTGGCATTCAGGAATGTGGCACGTGTTCAAATGTTACAGTATTCAAATCCACAAAAGAAAAAATAACCCTCAAGTTTAGCAAGCCAGAAAAAAACAACTTGTGATCTTTGCCTGAACAGAAAGAGTTCTGATATCAGCCTCCAAAATGTTTTGCTTTTTTTATTCATCTCTACCATTTTATCAGAATTTTTTTCAAGTTAAATATTTTCATATTTAGACCCCTCAAATGTTGCCAAATATAAGTACAACAAAAATGGGACTTAAAGCCAGTGTAGTTAAGCAACAGCATTATTCCAGAGAATCTTGGGCCAGAAATTAAATCTTGTACCTGGGATCCTAGGAACATAAGTGTTGGAGAACAAAGGGTCTTGGTGCAAATTACAGAAATTTAATTAAATAGCAGTTAAGAAAACATCTAAGAGATATAATGACCATTTCTTCTGTTCATATTAAACTACTTCATTAAGTTGCAAGATACACATTCAGAGTCGTTTACTATTTACAAAAATAGACAATTTCCCTGTGTATTTGAACAAATCAATCATTTTAAAATAAACAAGTTCTTTGACTGGTTGCCACTCTTAATTTTAAGAAATAACATCTTTCCCTCTAGAATAGGTGTGATCGCCTATGGAAGCATTCCAAAATCCTCTTACTTTTCATATTAAAATTTGTTCCTCAAACTCGTAAGTAATGTTTAACTATATCTTTTTCACAGTGCACTTTTGACTTCTTTCTTTTTACACACTGTAGGAGCAAGCAAAAAAGCCTTGCTTATTGACAGTTGCCCTCAGATTTACACAGTGAAAACAGCACAGTCTGACAAAATTACAAAATCATTTATTAAGCCTTTCACAAAGTTGACTTAACACACAAGATAGCTTTCCAAAATAAAATTATGAGCAAAATCATAAAATTAGTAACCTTCTTTCACACTCGTAATCTTATGATTACTTATTTTACATTGTCAATTGGTAATAGCATCAGGGATTAATTGTAGCATATGCAAATTTTATTTGTATGCAATGACTGGATTTGAGGACTGATATGAGGAGTTTGTGGCCAAATAAATGAAAGTGCTGAAGCATACGTGCAGCATATAAAGATAACTGGGCAAATATAAAAATTACATTCAATACTGAATACAGATTTTTACACAATGTAGATTAAGCATTAAGAAAGTTGAATTATATGCACATAACCTACAGTTCATATCTGAGTTACGGAGAAGGGAAGATTTAACTAATCAGTAGAAAAAATAAAGTATAACATATCCAGCCAATTCAAAAAGTTTTCATTGGCTGCTTCATAAAAAAGCACACTTTGGAGGACATCCTTCAAACTATCCATTTCCAAGCATCAATAATAATTATGGAAATATTAATGCAGACATAATATAATGTAAGTATATGGTCTGCCATAAGAATAAACCTCAGCGAGCCCCATATGTTCGCCTCTAATGTTAACCTCAAAAGTTTTAGAATTAATTTGTTTGTCAAATTATCTAAACTCAATCCAATTTCACTCTATAGTTAATGTGATTTGTCTATAAGATTAACCACAATATGGGGTTCAGACTATACACTAAACTTTGGTTAACATAAAAAGGAAGCGTTCAATCTCTTTGTAACTGCATAAGGACAAGCCTCACTGAAGCTAATTATTGTCAGAATGAAACTGTTGTGTATATTATGGTATACTAAAAATAATCATTCTATTAAAACTACCTTTACTACAATTAAATGAAACTTTTAAATATTGTGTCCTCAAATGTTGAATTTTAGAGTTCAAGGAACATAGGAAAGCTGTGGGAGACCTGAGTGTTTAAAACATTATGTGCATACGTTTGAACTCCCAGCATTAATGCAAGGCCCTTCTCTATTTAGGCATTTGTGTATCAACTGGGAATTTAGCCTTCTGAATTCTCACCATCAATACAGCTGTTCTACAGATTCTAAGCAAGTCAATAGAGCCCACGCTTCATCACTTTATAGCTAGACTCCTGATATGAGGGGGTTTTTTTGCCCTAACTTGGATATTATACTCTTCATTCAACTAGATTATAGAATGGTAGACAAGTTCACAGATGTGAATCTAATGGTTTATTTAATAAATATAGTCAAACAGGCAGGAGAGAAAACAGTGCTGAAACTATGACTTACTAAGCACATTACTCAATATAATTTTTGCACAAATAATATTCAGCATGTTATTTATAAATTCTCAGGTGCTATTGAATTCTCACACAATTCTGTCAATGGACTTCTGTGTAAAACAATTAAACATACTATTATATAAAAATAGAAATATGTTGTGGGATTTTACAAAACTTTATAGCTAAGTTGACATTTCTCTAAAATTGACACCACTATAGAAAGTATATTGTATAAAGTAAAAAATTTACTGGAAATACCTTTTGTACTATTTGTCAGGTCTTGGTTTTAGACATTTAAAATAAAGTCACCTGCAATTCATTTACATCGTGAGGTCAGCTGTGTACGAATGTTGATATTTCAAATGAATAGCTAGCCTATTCTCCCAATTTGTGCTTTTAGAACACAGTTTATTTTTAAATCCACGTCCTATAGTTTAAAAATGTTAGTGAATGATCTAAGGATTTAAATATCAAATCACAACATTACAGCAAATAACATGATCTGAGACAAGAGTTTTCACTTAACCATACCTGATCATTATAAACATTTAACAATATCATACAAGTTTGAAAGTAGTTTAGCTATCAATCCATCTGAAAGATTAATTTCTTAAAAGCCCCCATTTGTTTTATTCATTTTGTGGGAGCACCATGCTTGTGATCAGCTCACAATAATCATTACACAATAGTGCTGAATTTGTCTTCATCTTGCATCTTAAGAAAATTTTCTTTGTGCAAGATGCTGGACAGCCCTCAGTTCTAGGGATGAAATCACAACCCTTATTACTGAAATCCCATTATACAACAGCAATTAATCCTAACAGCACCAACTGTTTCTTAGATCATCATGCCAGAGGTGCAAGGTTATTTTTTTTTTCCTGCAACAGTGCAATCATTACAAGGCACTGCTTGGTGTACAACATTTTGCATTGTTTTTAAATAGTTACTAACATTTCAGAATTTATAATATATAGAATAAAGGTAAACTATCAGTTTCAAAGTTTGGTTAGATGTCCTTTTCAATCTGCTAACCAAATTACCAGTTTCATACAGGTTTAATTCCCCCATCCTAATATTAAAATAATTCATTAGCAAAGAAAACAATTGTGTTATATTTTCTAATCTTCCTGTTTAGAGAAGGGGAACTGCTGACCAATTCACTTGTAGAAAGAAAATCAAGTATACGTGGCTGGAAAGTATTTGCAACAGTCAATCCCTGCAGAAAGAGTAATGACATTTTTGGAGGTTTAAATACTGAGGCACATATGATTCAAAGGTTTTTCAGGCAAATTTAATGGCTAGGGTAGATTTCTCAGAAGTTGTAACTAAAGGTTTTTCATACAACTCAAGTTCAAACACCAACTGTAATATAAAAACGTTTTCTTCCATTAGTCACTGCTGTCATCATCATCATCATCATCTGATATGTCATTTAAAGGAGGCTTTGGTGACTGGCTATAAGAGTCTGATCTTGTGGGCTGGCATGTTGACATCTCTCCCATGGAAAGGAATTCATAACAAAAGTCACAAATTCGCACAGGCTTGGAAGACTGACTGGGAATAAGAAACCTCTTTTCAGAGCAGGGTCCACAGACAACAAATCCACATTTCCGACAGTGGTGTCGACGATTCACAGGAGTAAATTTTGCTTTCTGGCAGCGCATGCAAACAGTGGCTTCTGAGTCGGGTACCCAGACAGCTGCATGCTCATTACTGGGCGTCTTCCCACTTTTGGACAGCAAATCAGAAACACATTTATTTATGTGGTTCATCCATTCAGATTTTTCTGTGGCAGTAGCAGCATATACTGCAAAAGATTTAGTTGGAGTTTTGATAAGCCATCCATTCCGCAAATCCCCCTCATCTTGGATAGATTCAATAGTGACGTTTTCGAGAGGAATGATATGTTGCTTATTATATTTCTTCTTCTGGATAACAATGTTACCATATACAAGGATATCATTGAATAAAAAAAACTGCCTTGCTTTTGGTTTCTTCCTACATAGCTTTGTTAATACTCCTTCACCAATGAGGACACGGCCAGGAATGGTCAGAGGCTGACCAGCAGCTCCAAAACAGTTCTCCACTATGCTTATTCGCCTAGTATTTGCTTCACTGTTTGCCAAGCGATCCACCATTTTTCCCCACGTTCCTGCAACAGACAAGAATAAATAATTAAGGCACTATAACTATTCAATCAGAAGCTATATATGAAGTATAACATATATAGCTGACAACGCCGCCCCACCCTTATTTAAATACATACAGGATGTTTTCAAAAATAAGAGGGAATTTCTAGAGTATCAACTAAAACCCCCAAAACACTCTTAAGAATTGGAGACAATCTTCCACTCCCAGTATATGTGCAGAGTAAAAATGACGACCTTGAAAGTATTGTGCAGGAAAAAAGGAGTGAAGCATTTTTTAAAATCAAAAACAAGATAACAAATAGAAGCGGCTCAATCGCTAGCCTCCCTAATACACTGAATTATAAGGAGGAGGAAGAGATAAAGCACCACCATCCCTCTTGCAAGATCTTGTTATTATAGCCAATCTCAATAGAAATGGTTGTAGTCTTCCTGTGGAGTGGTTTCCAAGTCTGGTCTACCAGCAGGACCAACAATATATTGATGCAGGAGAATCCTGTTGAATTTGGTAGGGAACATTGCTACTTGAAAGCTGTGACTTGAATTTTCAATTAACCACTTTGTGTTTCATTTAAATTGTGTATGAAATAAATGAGACAGATTGTGAGCTAATAGAACCAAAACCTATACAATATTGGAAGTTCCAGATTTTACTTGAGACAATCCAAACAAGTCTTGTGAGGCAAGTAGGACTAACTAGTATGCCTCTCTCTTCTCCCCACCTCTCTTTGTGTGGCCTGTGCTATTCACAAAATTTTTTTGCTCCTCCTTTTCTCTTATTTCTTTTAACCATGCTCCGATGTTCCCTATAATTTTTAATATGTTGTGTATGGGAAAAAAATTATACAGCTTTCCCCAAATCAAGCTCAAATTTGTGCACCACTATAAAAGCAAATTATAAACAGATGGTTGGCTTATCAATTAAGAAAGAAACAGAGACAGAGAATTATAGACAAAATAAATTATAATGGTAAATTAGTTTATCAGAAGGAGTTGATTAAGAAATCTTTTTTAGATTATTATCAAAAATTATATAAGAGTACTAATGTACAAACTTTAAATATAAATAATTATTTAAGTGAGGCCAACTTCCCTAAATTAACAGAAGATCAGAAACAAGAAATTAATGGTTTAATCACCAATGAGGAAATTGTTGACAGTTATTAAGCAATTAAAAGTAGGTAAAGCACCGGGTACGGATGGTTTGACATCCATTTATTATAAAACCTTGGTAGAAGAGATGATTCAACCTTTATGTGAGCTTTTTAATAATATACTACAGGGTTCAGAGATTCCTCCGTCATGGCGTAGAGCTTTTATATCTTTGATTCCAAAAGAGGATCAAGATCTCACTTTACCGAAGAATTATAGGCCCATATCTCTTTTAAATGTAGATTATAAGATTTTTGCAAAAATTTTAGCTAATAGGCTTATGAGGGTTTTGCATCAGCTTATACATAAGGACCAATCGGGTTTTATAACTGGTAGGTATATGAAGAATAATGTTAGACAAATTATTAATTTATTAGAATATTTAGATAAGAATAACCAAATTTCCGCAGGGCTGATATTTTTAGATGCTGAAAAAGCTTTTGATCAATTGAATTGGCAGTTTATGTTAAGATTAATTGAGGAAATGAATTTTGGAGAAAAAATATCACAAGCTTTTGGTGCTATATATCAAAAACAAACGGCACAACTTATTGTTAATGGGGGTTTGTCAGAGGTTTTTACAATAGAAAAAGGTACAAGACAGGGATGTCCATTGTCACCGTTACTGTTTGTTTTAACTCTGGAAATTTTGTTGATCAAAATTCGAGAGACGCAGGAAATAAAAGGAATAGAAGTTAACAAAAAAGAATATAAATTAAGAGCTTTTGCAGATGACTTGGTGGTTACTTTGTCTCAGCCTACCTATTCTGTAGTAAATTTATTACAACTGATTTACCAATATGGACGGGTTTCGGGTTTTAAAATTAATAATAATAAGACTAGAATATTATCTAAAAACATGACTAATTTGGATAAGCAGATTTTGGTTAATCTGACAGACTTTGAAGTTGTTGATAAGATAAAATATCTGGGGGTTACTCTATCTGTTTCTAATGTAAAATTGTATAAAAACAATTATGAAAGGCTGTGGGTCAGGGTACAAAAAGATTTGAAAAATTGGGAGAAGTTACAGTTATCTCTTATGGGAAGAATTGCAGTGATTAAAATGAATGTCCTGCCAAAATTTCTCTTTTTATTTCAAATGTTACCTATTTTAAAGAATGAGGTTAACTTAAATGAATGGCAGAAAAGTATCAACAAATTTATTTGGGCAGGGAAAAAACCAAGGGTAAAGCTTAAAATTATGCAAGACTTCCGTGAGAGAGGTGGACTCAAGGTACCGAATGTGAAATTATATTATGATGCTGTGGCTTTAACACTAATTAGTGATTGGGTTGATTTAACAAATGTAGAAATACTCCATTTGGAGGGTTGGGATTTACTTTTTGGATGGCATGCCTATCTAATTTTTAATAAAAAAGTGGATCGGGTTTTTAAATCTCATATTATAAGGATTTCTTTACTTCGGGTTTGGAGGAAATATTATAAAAGTGAGTTTAAAATACCATTATGGGCTATACCTTGGCATGCGATAGAGGGGATAAGAAGAGGAGTTAAGATGGATAGTGTTTCTTATGCGCAATTACTCAGGTGGGATGGTAAAAATTGGCAGTTAAAATCTTTGGAAGATTTAGCACATGAAAATATTATATATTCATGGTTTCAGTATAGACAAATAGCTGATAGATGGAAGATAGATCGTAATGTGGGTCTGCTCAGAGAAGATAAAAATCTTTTTAAACAAGTAAAAGATCAAAGGCGAACTCATATTAAGAGAATTTATGGGGTACTAGTAGAACTGGACTCAGAATCAGAACTAATTAAAGAATGTATGATTAAATGGGCACAAAATTTTGGTGAACCAGTTCTACTAGATACCTGGGAAACCATCTAGGTGAGGAATGTTAAATTTACACAAGCCCAGAACTTAAGGGAGAATTTTTACAAAATGTTTTATAGATGGCACCTTGATCCACAAAAAATGTCTCGTATGTATCCTGACTTACAGCCTAAATGTTGGAGATGTGGTTGTTTAGACGCTACTTATTATCATATTTGGTGGTCGTGTAAAAATATAAAAGTCTTTTGGATTAAGATATGGTGGAATATTCAAAGAATTTTTAGAAAGAGGGTAAAATTTACCCCACAATTGTTTTTGTTAGGTATTGTTACTGATTGTGATGCTAAGGAAGTTATATTGATGTTAAATTTGATTACGGCCGCTGGGCTGTTAGTAGGGCAATACTGGAAGAAGGAATCTTTGCCTACCTTGCAAGAGTGGTTTTTTAAAGTTTCTTATTTGGCGGAAATGGCAAAGATTTCGGCTTTCTTAAAGGAGCAATCGCAAGAGAAATTCTTTGCGGTATGGGAAAAATGGATAAATTTTATACAATATAAATTGGATATAAAAAATATCATTTAGCTTTCTAATAACTTGTATATAAATTTTAATATTTTATAGATTGTACTTTTTTATATCTCTTTTCTTCTTTCTCTTTTTTTCTTTTTTATTATCTTTTTTTCTTTCAAGTACTTTTTCCTTTTAATACATATGCTTTTTTTTACATATATTTTATTGTTAATTACTTTATAAATTGTTTATGTAAGGTATTTAGATATATTTATGACTTATATTTTTTCAATTTTTTTAAGATTCTTAAAAATTTTAATTAAGCCTATACTCAGCTCTGGGAAGATCGGGGGGGATGGAGAGGGAGGGTTGGGGTGGGTGGGCGAGGGTTGTTTTTTTTTTTTTTTTTTTTTTTTTTTTTTTTTTTTTGCTTTTTGTAAAAATATCTAAAAATTTTCAATTTAAAAAAAAAAGCAAATTATAAACATATGTAAAAGCAACATGGAAGAATGTTTATATAAATTTCTTAAAGCACAGAAACTAGGAAGTGTAGTATGTCACATATGTACATACATGCTTAAAAGTTGTACCTTTAGGTAATTTGTTACTCCTGAGAACTGTAGGGATTAGCCCAAGATCACCCAGCTGGTTATGTGCTTAAGATAGGGCTATAACTCACAATTTTTTGGTTTCTAGCCTGAACCATTATCCCAAACTGGCTCTAAATGAATATGCTATAAATCAACATAAGAATTGCTAGCCATGGATAATTACAATCAATACTTTATACACATTTACAATAGTTTCAGGAGGAACTGATATTCTAATGAAATAAAATAGAAGCTACAGAAATCTCCTTTCTCATTTATACTTATACTTTTACATGTTATTTACCCCACGTGCTTATTTTTATATTAGAATGCACAGGTAGTAATCCTATCATTCAGTATACTTTTCAAACTATTATGTTATCTAAAATATAGTTCAACTGTTACTCAAAGATGCCTAGACCTATTAAAGGAAGAGGAGTATATGCTTTTTTAGAAATAATAAAAAATAATAAATTAAAATGAACACAAGAGATTCAAGAGAATAGATGCTTGACAGTAACAACACCTGAACTGCAGGATGGAAGTATAGTATCTGCAAATTCAATATATTACAGCAGCCTGTTGAAATTGAATACTAAAAAAAAAAAAAAAGGATCAGGATGTAAGCACTGGAGCCATGGTAATCACTCAGTTCTAATGAGATTTTGAATAGATTAATGTATTCACAAGAAAATCTCTTTTAGCACTTGCTTAAGGAGAAACAGAAAAAACAATTTTGAAAGAATCTAATATATTTATACTCACCATATTTGCTCAGTTTGGATAGCAACTTTAATTGGAATTCTAATTTTAAAAAAACTTAATGAGCAATGTTGTTCAAATCAGGATAATCAAAGTGTTCTAGAATAGTGAATGCCAACAAACAGCAGAAATGGAATTCCTTGCACTTTCTAGCTGCTTTTAAAGAAAATATATAGCTTGCAAATTATTA